CTCGTTAGTGTGTTGTTTTTAGATACATAATTAACAAAATAGGATGATCCAGAACACTGGAAGCAGCTATTAAAAACAGCATGTCACAAAATAGTTTCTGCCTGATAGCAGGGGGGGGGGGGCGGGGGGTAAAGAAGGGGCAGGGGGAAGAAGAAAGAAATGACCCAAACATTGTATGCACATATGAATAAAAGAAAAAAAAAAAAAAACAGCCTGTCATCCAGCCTGGTGTGGGGCTCTGGGGCACAGGGTTTGCTCAACACATAGGAAGCCCTATCTGATCTCAGCATGACAAAAACAAAACAAGACAAAAAGCTATCTTCATTTTTTTCTCCCAATGGTGAGTTTCTCTCTCTCTCTTCTCTCTCTCCTTTTTCCTGAAAGTAAATTTGAAATCTTTTCATTTGATTAAATTAAAGCTTCTAAAACTTTGGCCATATCCCAAGAAAAATGTGTCATTACATTCCTTTTTGTTTGTTTGGTTTTGAGACAGGATCTCATTAGGTAGCCCAGGCAGGCCTCCCCAGTGCTGTGATTACAGGCGCATGTCACCAGGCCAGGCAAGCAATCTTTTTTTTTTTTTTTTTTTTTGTGGTACTGGGGTTTGAACTCAGGGCGTCATGCTTGCTAGGCAGGCACTTTACCACTTGAGCCACTCCACCAGCCCAAGGCAAACAACCTTAAAAATTTATTAAGCCAGGTGTGCTGGCTCATGCTTGTAATCCCAGCACTAGAGTGTTAGAGTCAGGAGGATAGGGAGTTCAAGGTCAGCCTGGTCTACATAGTGAGACCCTGTCTCATATAAAAAGAAAAAGTTTATCAATTCCTGCCCAAAATGCATACCATGCATCTAATTTTGAGGTAATACCACATAAACACCAATCAAGGGACAGTTTACAGAATGGCCTGAGACTAGCCTGTCCTCTTTTAAAATGTGGTCAGGCAAGACAAAGAAAAGCCAGGCACTGTGCCCAGTGAGAGGAGGCTGAGGACAGCAGAGACCTGGACACAATGGAAGACCCTGGCTGGGTTTCTAGGCCAGGAAAAAACAAAACAAAACAATCCAGACAGGGCATTTTCAGGACAAATGGCAAAATTTGATTAAGGGCTATAAATTAAACTGGGTGTAGAAATCAGGAGGATGGCGATTTGAAGCCAGCTGGGGGAAATACTGCTCAAGATCCTATCTCAGAAAAACCCCATCACTACTTCATATACTTACAAGAAACAGAAGAAACCTCTTGCAAAGTTTTACGTGGGGCAGGGAGGGGGTTGAGAGGGAGAGACTGTGGGGATGATCTAACCAACGTACAATATTAGCCTATATGGAACTGTCACAATGAATCCACCCCGTACAACAAACATACCTTAATAAAAAAATTAATGGAAAAATAAATTAAAATGAAATAAATTCAAGGTGAAAAAAAATTAAGAAAAAAGATCACAAAACAGGGCTGGCAAACTGACTCAAGTGGAAAGGCCACCTGCCAAGCAAGCATAAAGCCCTGAGTTCAAACCCCAGAACTACTAAAAAAAAAAAAAAGGACTATAAATTAGATCAGTGGTAATGTATCAATGGTAAACTTCCTGATTTTGACAAGGAAGAATTATTTTGACATTAGGGGCAAAAAGACTTTCATCTCTTCTCCCTACAGTCATCCAGTTTGGGTTTGTTACTGTTACTCCTGTTGACACCAAACTATTTAGGAATAAAGGGATCATGGCCAGGTGTGGTGGACCAAGTCAACACTTGGGAGGAAGGAGGACACTGAGCTCAAGCCAGCTTGGGCTCCATAGTGAGACCCGGTCTCAAAACCACCACCACCACAAGAAAAAGGGATTATGTCTCAACTTAATTCTCAACTTTCTAATGACACAGTGTGGGCATATGTATGAGATCTGTAACTTTTTGCAAATTAAAAATTATTGCAAAACAAAATTTTAATTGAACAAATTAGGTTGCTTTATTTTACCACCACTTGTTGGAGTTTGGAGTTTTAAGCTCTTTCAGGACTATATTTTTTATTTTTGAGGGCTGCTCTAGAGTAATTGTGACTTAGCACACAGCCAGTGGAGCCACTGCAAACGTTCAATTCAACCTTGACCCTGACATCATTTCAGATGCCTATGAAGAAAATTCCTCAAGAGAGTCAGATTCCCTTTCTCTCTACCAGAACTTTCAGCCCAAACCCCAGAGAGAAGTAAAAGGGTCTTGCAGGGTACCAAAAATGATACTCCCTACAGGCAGAGAGGAGTCCAGACCTTATTATCCACACAGAGAGAACGCCTGGCTAGCTCTGAGTTGAAACATCTCATGGGCAACAGATACACCCAGCTTGAAAGAGAACAGCTAAGAGACCGGCTTAAAGGAGTTCAGAGTTAATCAAGAAGTGTGCCATTCAGATGTACCTGCAGTTACTGCCTGTACCATGGCTGGGATCTTTCTGAGAATGCTAGAACAGGGAGTGATTACAACAGAGAGTCAATTAAGGCATAAATCATTTTGTTGGTGAGACTTGGGTTTGAATTTAGGTGTAAATAAATCTTATACTGTTTTCCTGCTGGTAATCTAATGCAGCATGTGGAAAGCTATATACCACTGATTTTGAATTAGTGATGTATACGATCTGAACTTGTCATTCTCTTGTATCTCTTACTTGTACTTTTTGGTTTTTTGGGGGTGCTGAGGGTCTGTCCTACCTTACCTCGATCATTAACCCATCTGTGTAGTTTGTATAAGAATGACTTCAAAATGCTTCACTTCTTCATTTTGATTTGACCCAAAGAATCACCGATAGGTCTCATCTTTGTTTTAGAAGCCTAAAGTCTGTGAAATGAGATATAACCTTAAAGAGGTGTGAGGAGACATGGGATAGCTTTGGCTAGAGTGTAATAATTAGTGTGGGTGACTATTTTTTCATTTTCAAATACTTAGGTTGCCATAAAAAGAATTTTTTGTGTTATTTTAACTTTCAGTACCAAATAAATGTATATCTAAAAAAAAAGAAAGAAAGAAAGAAAAAATTATGTTAGTCCACGTACTGCTGCTATTACTCAGGAAATGTGTGGCACATAGGTAAGTAGCATGGTCTGTAATCTCCTGACCCAGGTATTGTTTCTGAAAATGCTGCACCCCCAAAACTGTTGAAAAGTCCATTCTAAGATTTCCTGTGATGAAAAGAAAGAGTCCTTAAAAATGGCTCAGACATATTTGCTTCACTTTGCTTTTGAGCTCACTGAAGATGCTGTGGGTAGAAAGATCCCCTCAGGGAAGTACTAATTCAACACTAGCATCAAATGCAGAGACTTTCTTTCTCCTCCTTTCCCCAGCATCATCCAGTTAGGCCTTGATACGCTGCTCCCCTTCCCAGCCACACACACCCCCATGTATCAAATAACTAAACTTGCCCGGATCCCTTTCCGGCCTGACAGTTTCTTGGGCGTTTTGTTGGGCTTTGAAGAGAAATTGCAGAGCTGGGGCCCGCAATATTCAGCATATTCAGACCTGTGTTGTTTTCCTCTCCTGTGGCATTCACATGATAATAAGGCCACAAGAGGTGACCAACAAAGGAAGAGGAGTTTTTAATGCTAGAGCCATCTGCCGATTCTCCTCAGTCTTTTCAAGAACTGAACTAAGTGAAGGCAGGAACTGGGAAGGGTATGCTGGGAAGGGCAGAAAATTCATTCACAGGAAAAGCCATTCCAATATGAAAAGAAAGAACCCGGAAAGTGGGAGCCGGGGTGGATGGACGAATGGAATCCAAAGGCCCCTTTTCTTGAGCTCTAAAGAGATCACCCACACCCTCTCCTTTGGAGCTTTCTCTTTTGCCAAGCATATTAAGGATTACAGTAAGATTTAATATACACAACCACAAAAAAGCCCCCTGCAGAGGGATCTTCTGACTACCCACATGAAAAGCCCACACCTCTGCAAGATTAAATTGGTTTTTTTTTCCTTTGGGGAGCAAAACATCCTAAACACAGTATTTTTGCATCAATAAAGCATTCATATACCAACTCTAAGTCTCCCCTTATTCTAAAGATTATTTATATTTTAAGACCACCAGCCATGAAAACCTACTCAAATGCACTAAAACATTTCTATCCCTTTAGGAAATGTGATTCAAAGTGCAACTTTTTTTGAGTCCCAAACATGTTTATCCCAAACAATTTTCCTGGAAGGAAATTCTACTCAAAACTCTGAAGTCACCAATAGACCCCTTGCTTGTAAGGAAGCAAAAGCATGTCATAAAGCGGGCTCTCCTGACTCAGCTGCAACTCTCTGCATCTATCTGTCTTATATCTTCCAAGAGTCTCCATTTTCCCCTGGCCTCTCCTAAAACAGTACTAATCTCCAAGTGAGGTTAGAAATCTCAGGACAATTCACTGCATTCTTCTCCAGCCAGTTAGCCAACTTCAGATAACATTCTCACATTCCGGATGCAAACTTAAACCTACTGTAGCTGGAAACAAAAACCAACATAGTTTGGCTCACTGCGCAGCTTCTCCAAGGTTGTATCTAGGGGGTTTTAAAGTTCTATCATTTAAAATATCTGCAGTGTCCTGCCAGATGAAGGTCATCCGGTCACTGGTCTTTTGGCTTCGACAGCGAGGCTTCGTAAGACACCTTCAAATAATCTGCTGCTTTTGTAAAATCTAAGGGGGCCTGTAAAGTAATCCCTGTTGAAACAGTGTCTCTGCAAGCTGTTTATCTTTTTAACTTGTTCATGGAGCTGGAGACCACTCCCTCAACTCAGCAGGGAAAAGGAAAGGGGCTGGCCAGGGAGCTCACAGAATTTAATTCCAGATGGAGAACAAGTTATCTGACAGAACCAACTCTAGGAGGCCACTGGCAGATAGAGGCAACTCTGGTGCCTGAGCAACTGAGTCACTGTCCCACCACACTGCACCCTCGGCCAGGGGCCTGAACTCTGCTCCCGTGACTGTCAGCGGTCAGTGATTGAGTTGCAACCCTGGGGCCCAGGAGCCAGGAGGCTGACCTCTTGCTGTGAGCCGGCTATAGACCTGGGAGTTGACGTCCTTGTCTCGAACATAGCATCGGATCTCCTCCACTGCCTCACGGATGATGGTGACAGCCAGCACGAAGCCCTGCAGAGAGTGAGGACAAGGGTGAGCCCTGCTGAAACCAACTGTACTCTCCTGGCACTGGGGGCAGAAAAGGCAAGGAGCCACTTATGAGGGCAGCAGGGAATGACCAGATGCATACGCACCCCACACACCCTTCTCTGGATCTCCCTTAGCGAACATGTGCAACTGTAGAAACACCAACACCCACTGCAAGCATACCCTCATTCACCACTGCGAGGTCTGTAAGGGTGAGAAGCCTAGAAACACCCAAACTGTCCTTCCACAGGCAAGGGACAGTGGCCACTCATATCTGCCTCTCACCACGTACTGGGCACCGATGGAAGTACATTTCATCAGACACCATGACTGCGACCCCCCGCCCCAGGCACAGGAGGAAACTGAGGCAGGAAAAGATTGTGTAATCTCAGCAAGGGCAATTATAGGTACTAGAATGCAGGAAATCTTGCTCCTAACTGATACGTTCTGCATCTAGAAAAACTCTAGATGAGTGGATGGAGCCAAGAAGAACCACCGAGCAACAGGTAAAGACAATTAGGTCCATCCACTGTGGACAGGTCACACAATGTCAGTGCTCATACAGGCAGCAAAGACTGGTGTAATGTCAAATGGCTTCTGATTTCCTGAACTACTGCCCCGATTCCTCGGAGAGGAAGTGCACTCAGGAAGGACTAGACTTCATACTTATCCCTAGTGTGCTAAGCTTTTATGAAGAAATCATGTTAGAATATTGACCATGAAGTATAACTAATAAAAATTTAAGACTGCTCCAATTTGTGCAGCTGTACCCCAGCTCATAACATTTACTGAGTGAGCAGTCACCCATAGCAAGAATCTATTTTCAACCTGCACTTTTTCCTCTTGTATCAGTAAAGGCAAAAACATTTATTCATTTTTCTTAAGCTCTTAACATTCACTTTGCTTGTCATGCCTCCCCTCTGCCCTCTTTTAAACTTATGAAAACATTATTTTTTTAAATATAGGTGACATGACTGCCCAGGGACTCACAGCTATAATTCTTTGAGGGTTTCAGTTTCACACTGTTTATCCTGTGAACTATATTAATTTCAACTCAGAAAACTTTAAATCTCTTATGTAAATCTAGCCAGAGACACACTGCCTGGTGAAACGCCTCCAAGACCCATCTGTCTTTGCAACCAAAAGATTGCTCCTGTTTCCAACAGGAGGTCAAGTACACACTGCAGCCACAGAGGAGGGGAGAGAACAGTTCTGGAGGGAACTCACACCCCCTTTGCTGCTGTTTTCTTCTTGTGTGGCAGAACCTGGGTGTTTGCTGTTGTTTTTTTATTTATATATTTTTGGGTGGTACTACTGGAGTTTGAACTTAGGGCCTCACCCTTCCTAGGCAGGTATTCTACCACTTGAACCATGTCCCCAACTCTTACTTGCTTTAGTTATTTTTCAAATAGGATCTCGTGTTTTTGCCCAGGGTTGACCTCAGACCATGATCCTCCTGATCTCCACCTCCAGAAGAGCTGGGAAGATGTCAGACACTAGGCTTAACTGCTGTTTTTCAACATCTAGTGAGACAGGAACCACCCATAGCAAGAATCCATTCCCAATCTACATTGCTTTCTCTTGTATCAATGAAGGCAAAAACATTCATTCATTTCTCCCATACTCTCTCTTTGTGTGGGCCTAGCTAAATCCCATTGTTAATAGAAAATGGTGCTCATACAAAGATGGGATCTGCTCAGTAGTCTCCATGCTGCAAATAAATTCCACTAAAGTTATCATACTACCTGAACACACACACACACACACACCTCTCATTAATCCTAGAGCATACACCTCCCCTTAAGCTAGAAATTGCTTTACAAACAGATGCAAATGCATGCCTATAATCCCAGCTACTGGGTGGTGGTAATCAGGAGGACTGAGGTTCCAGGCCAGCCTGGGCAAAAAGTTTACAAGACCCCATCTCAACAAATAAACTGAGCATGGTAATGTTCGCCTATGATGCCAACTACACAGGAGGTATAGTTAGCAGGATCATAGTCCTGGTCTGAGGCCAACCCCATACAAAAAAGCACAAGACCCTATCTGAAAAACAACTAAACCAAAATGGCTGGGAGGTCAGGTGGTAGAGCACCTGCATAGCAAGAATAAGGCTCTGAGTTCAAATCCAAGTACCACTAAAAAGGAGGGGGAGAGAGAGACAAAGAGAAAGAGAGAGAGAAATAGAAGTGCCAATGTAGATATAGTCCAGAAATAAATCCAAACTGCCCCCCTTAGGAGGACCACTTTAGGAGGTCCATAACATCAACAGATATTTAGGAAGAGTCATGAGGGGCCTAGGATAGTCTGAGCTTGTAAAGAATCATAGGCAGTGATAACACAGACAAGTAACTTTGAAGGTTCTAAGCTTCTTTTGTAAAACTGTATATCAAAAATAGTTTTACAAAGCTGGGAATGGTGGTGTGAGCCTGCCACCCAGCTCCTCCAGAGTCTGAGGTGATGGGAAAACTGCCTGAGGCAACAGTTGTCCCTGGGCAACATAGCCATGGGACAGACTGGAGGAACTTATCTCCCTGGGGCACTGGGATAGAAGCCAAGCACTCTTACAGCACTGCTGAACACTGTTAATGTTAACATCGGCCTTTATTGTAAGCACCCCTTCCAATGTTTATTTTTCCCCTAAATAAGCTAGGAAGTTGGGGCCCTGGGCAATTTCACTCCCTAAGTGACAGACACCTCTCTGGTGCCCCAGGTGCCTTGAGTGGCAGACTATCTATCAGTCAAACAGCTGGACAAATGGCCCTCACGGCAGGGAGCTGCTTTGAACACTTCACAGATACCTTGAGGGAGCTAAGAGCGACCACAGAGACTTGCTGCTGAAGCAGAGCTCTGGCTTCAGAAGGCTCTGTCCCAGCCATGACTGTTTCACCCAGCTCCTGCTGGACTTTCTGCCATCTCAAGGCTGTGATGGGTGCATACAGCCCTTCATGTTTATAAAAGGCTGTGCTATGATTGGTGCAAGCACCCTTTCTATCCATATAAGCAAGAGATTCCATTCTCTTTTGGAGTCAGCTCGAAGATACTCTCCTATGTTGCTCCCTGGTATTGCAACATTAGGCCCAATAGAAGATTTCTCTTGAGTGGTCTTTTCTGATATAATTTTGATCTTTATCATTAATAGAGCTGTAACACATAGAGGAGATGGCAGAAGTGGTACCAGGAACAGCTGCAAGTTGGTAGCTGAAGAATTCCAGAGAGCAACTAGGAGCAGGTAGCAGAGGTGGCAGAGACAAAAAAGGACTGTGATGAGCTAAAGATGAGAACCTGTGGGCCATGGTTGCTGGGAGAGTTCCAGAGAGCTGCCAAGCCTTAAGGGCCAAAGTCTCAGACAACCTATGCCCCGAGAGTTGGAACACTCTGGATCTAGAGCTGGAGTTGAGCTGCTGTAGGGGCTGAGGGTTCCAGTATGGGAGGCTGTTCAGAAACTGTAACACCAGCAGTGCCTGCTGCAGCCACTGCCCACCTCTGCTGGACGCGGAGGATTACAACAGCTGCCAAGTGTAGGGCTGCTAGTGCTTAAGACCCAGAAAAATAAGCCTCTAATCTGAGGGCCTAGTGCCATAAGTCTCTGGCTTCTAAAACTTGGGAGTCATGAATCTAACAGTTCTCACAAGTCCAGACCTGGGCCTTCAGCACTCAAGGGCCCGACTGCCAGCCCTTCTCCTACCTATTCATGGCTTCTACCCGTGTAGAGCGAAGGGACCCAAGTGAACTGACTGGTAACAGCAAAACCCCATCTCAAAAAGAACAAAAATGGTTTCTAAAGCAACACTAATCTACAGGACACAGAAATTAGAAAAGCAGTTGCCTCAGAGGGCAGCAAGAAGTCACTGGAAAGAGCAGCAGAGAACTCTGGGGTGGGGGAATAGAAAAGGTGCGATGTTTACATGAGTGTTGACAATGTCAGGTCTCACTGAATTGAAAAGTGCTCTATGGTACTGTATGGTATGCAGATTATATCTCAATATCAAAATTAATCTAGATTATATGGTCATCATACAAATAATTTCATCTGAGTAATTTCTCCCCCTAATGTATTAGTATCAAGAAAAAAAAAGAGAAGAAAATAAAAAAGGAAAATACACTGGGTGCTGGTGGCTCACTCCTGTAATTCTAGCTACTCAGGAGGCAGAGATCAGGAGAATCATGATTCGAAGTCATCCCATGCAAATAGTTCCAGAGACACCCTGCCCCCCATATCCAATATAACCAGAGCCAAACGGACTGGAGGTGTGGCTCGAGAAGAAGAGTGCCTGCTTTGCAAATGTAAAGCCCTAAATTCAAATCCCAATCCCACCCAAAACAAAGAGCTATCAAAAACTAAAACTTAGTCCAGACAATGAGCACCAATGCTGTTAGTGGCAAAACTTAAAAATCAAAATGAGGACATTTCCTGATAACTTCTTATATGTCTGAAGCTATATGGAGCATTTTATTTACAGCAATTCATTCTTTTTCCCAAAAAGCTGAGGAAGTCAACATGACCACCATTTTGACAGATGAGGGATCTAAGGCTCAGGAAAGCAGGCTGGCTCAAAGTACACCAGTCCCAAAGCACTTGGCTCATGGTTCTCATTCAGAAATGCTGCCTTGAGCAAGATTTCAACCAAGAGGCCTTTCAGTGTGGTCAGAAGGCATTGCAAAATGTCTTCTACATAAAAATCTATTAGGGGAAACTGTCACCATCACCTGAAAATACATGCCATCTAATTTGTCTTTGTCCCCCAACCCCCTTCTCTACAGCCTCTAGGAAAAGAGGCAGAAACAGAAAAAAATACCTCCCAACTTAACCATCACAGGAAATCTGACTACAAAATGCCCAGAGACCTCCCAAGGCTATCCACATGTAGAGAGAAGCTATTCACCTGCCTGGCTTCAATCCTACACCATAGTCAAGAAAACCAGTCAAGTCAGTGAAGAGACAGCAGAGGAGGTAAGAGAAAAAAAAAAAATTACAATTACTGTCAGAGTTCTGGCTTCTCTTGAAAGTCAGAGTGTCCCTTTAAGAAGGGGAAATTGTTGGGAGTGAATGGCTGAGCTCTCCTTAGAAGGGGGTAAACCCTACAAGTCATCCCAAGCCCCACCAGACCACCTGACTCCCCCATTGGCTGACTTTTGATTGGGGGTGGGGGGGAATTGGAGATCGTTATCACTGTTGCTGGTGGGGAAATCACAGAAAGGGCAAAGGAAGCAAGGGGCTGTAATGTCACACGCCAACACTGGTCCTCACTCACCAAGCCCAGGTTTCCATCTGGCCTTCCACCAAAGGAGGGGTCACCTCTGTTCTAAAAGACTTCAAACATGCTGAATGTACACTTGAGCTACTTACTTTTCTGTAACTCACCAACTTCCAGAAAAGTAACTTAAGATGTAACTTCTATTATGGTAAGATCGAAGCCACTGAAAAGAATAAAAGGCAACTCCCAGCTCCTAGCTAACTGGCCATGGGCAGATCTTCCCAGCCTCTTTGAATCTACACATGTAAGTAATAATGGAAATATTTGTTGGGGGCACCATAAAAACTGGAGCACACTGTCCATCGTGTTCTGCAGCTTACTTTTTTCATATCATGAAAGCCACAATTCATATCTTCCCACGGCAGAACCTATGGGCTACTTCAACTGATGGGCGAGCAGTCACCATTTAGGCAGCTTCTCACAGAGCCCTATTCGTTCCCACACTTTAGTGTTCTAAACCACACCGCAAAGAACATCTTTCACAGTCCACGCCACACACACAATACTCCACAGAAGCTCCTCTCCTTGGAAACAGAGCACAGGTTGTGCACTCTTAGTCTGAAACGCCCATAACCTCGCGTGACTTGCAAGTTCCTTATTCTCTGAGGGCCCCTGCTCTTCTCCACCAACTAAGGAGTCTCTCCCCTCTTCCAGTCCTTTTATGTGGGAACTTCCAAAAACCACCTCTGGAAAAATTCAGCGGAGCTGGTCGTATTTCCCACCCAGCTGTTTCTCAGTCATGTCAATTCTAACAGAATTCCATCTCCCTTAGCCACATCTACCTGAGTCTTGGTAAAGAGGAAAAATGTGTGGCTCAAGTGGTACAGCATTGCCTGGCAAGCTGAGCCCTGAGTTCAAACCCCAGTATGGCCAGAGAGAGACAGAGACAGAGACAAGGAAACATTTTCCCAAATGTGGCTTCAAGTCCCCTTTTCCCACCAAAGGTGCCAATTATGATGTAAGTGAGACAGCAGGGATGCTACGATGTGCTACCCAGTGTTCAGGTCTGGGGATCCACTGCTACAGGGCAGACGGATGATAGGGGATAACGTGAGGGGAGCGAGCACAGACCTGACTGAGAGTTGAAAGGCAGGAGGGCAGGCACCACAGCTGCCTTTGTGGATGTTTTGTGATCCCGATTTTAAAATACATGCATTTGCATGCATCTATAGTTTAATGTAACGTTGTAGTGTATAAAACACATGCATCTATAAGAAGACACTGGAAGGAAACACACCAGAGAATAAAAGGGGTGGGGGTCTCTCAAAGTAGTGGCTGTACAAGTAGTTTTGAATCCCCCTTTGTGGGTTTTTTGGTGGCATTAGGGGTTGAACTCTGGACCTTGCACTTGCTGTACAGGTACTCTCCCATTTGAGCCATGGCCCCAGCCCTTTTTTGCTTTGGTTACTTTTGAGACAGGGTCTTATTTTATGCCCTGGATGGCCTAAACTTTGGTCATTCTATTTATATTTCTTGTGTAGCTCAGATGAGAGAGGTTTTTATTGGTTGAGATGGGGTCGCATGAACTTATGCCCGGGCTGGCCTGGGGCCACAATCCTCTAATCTCTACTTCCCAAGGAGCTAGGATGAGGCGCTGCAGGCTTGAGGTGCAGCGGATGACTACAGTCTTGTGTTCTGGTTTGGTTTGGTTCTTCAAGCTTTTCTCTAATAACATGAGACCCTCTGCACTTGAAAAAGGAAAAGAGAAGCAAAGAGAAGCTGTTCTGAAGGCAGTAAAGCAATCAGCACAAGCTGGTGTTTTAGGTGAGCTCAATAGACAAGGCTTGAGAGCTGGATCTGGAGTAGTCTACACCAGGCTGGTGAGGCAGGGGTGTGGGGGATTCTGAGTCCAGAAGGTACAAGAGTGAAGAAATGAGAACTGGCCTGTCTTCAACCAGGGCAGAGGCTGCAAAGGGGCAGCCTGGAAAGCAACCCTCCAGGAGATGGGCAGGACCAATTCAAATGGTGCCTGCCATCTTTACGCGAGTTGTCAATGTTTAAAAACCAAGAGAAGCCGGACATGGTGGTGCACGCCTGTAATCCTAGCACTCAGGAGAGGCTGAGTGAGTTCCAGGACAACTTGGGCTACGCAGAGAGAGCCTGTCTCAAAAAAAAAAAAAAAAAAAAAAAAATCAAGTAACTGATCAGTCAACTAATTAATAAGTAAAACCCAAGAGTATGAATTCTTGTCTATTCCATTCACTGCTGCACCCTCATCATGCAGCATAGTACATGGCATACAGTGGGTGCTCAGTAGCCATTTGCCAAGGTTAGAAGGAAAAGGAGATGTGGGAAGACAGATAGTTCTGTTACACCTCACACACTCAAGGATTCTCCTACTTTTCCAACCCTTTCTTCAAAGATAAAGGAAATTGTGATCTCAGAAAACAACTGAAATAATAAATGCATGAGGACAAAGGACTCATCTTCACCACTTGCCACGTGTCCTCAGAGTCTAGCCCCATGCCATGTACAATATGCATGCAGTATGCATTTGTCGAAATAATGAAGGATAGAGCTGACTGGATGAATGGTTCAGGCTTTGCTAAGTTCAATGACGGTGGGCGTGAGCTAGAGCTGCAATATTAAAACCTGGGAACTCCCACCAGTGTGTTGGCTTCAGGACATCGTCTCCTGAAAAGGCCACTATCCAGGCCCACCAGCTTGAGTGGGGTTGGCAGGGAGAACAAAGAATTACTTGTTTGCAAACCCGAGGCTGGGAAGGAAGCAGCTCACTACTCACCAGAGGAACCCAGTAAGTATAAAGTGCACCGAGTCTCATTTCAGGAACAAACTGGGAGCAGGCAAGGAGCAAGAAGTAGAGGTTGAAGAAGTACTTGAACTGGTTGAACAGCACCTGGGAGATGAAGACAGCAGAGAGGAGACACTCAGGCTCATCTGATGACTGGGTTTGAAAGATTTCATGGGAAGAGAATGTGTAAAAACGTTCAGACACAAGGACACAACTTACACACTACTTTTCACAGAAAGCTTAAGCAGCTCCATACGTTACACAGGATAACAAAAATACCATTTGCAAAAGTAAGTAATGGTATACAAGGAAACTCTAAACATCAAATTCAGGATCAGAGTTCTGGGGAAGGGGGGTGGTTAAGGCACACAGGGGACATCAATTGTATCAGTCATCTTTTATTTGTTTTGTAAGTACAGGTAGGCAACTTGAAGTGTTGTTTAGGAAGAGGTTTTAGTGGGAAATGTTTATGCTGGCAGGCTGAATCCAAAAAGGAAGACAAAAGGTGTAATTTTGACTCTGCAAAATAATAGAGTAGACTCCGATCCTGGCGGAGTAAAATACTGGGCTCTGGCAGAGTTGTGACTATTACCGTGTCCTCTGGGAGAGAGACTGGTGGCTAGTTTTGGCCAATGAGCAAGGAGGGGAAGTATCTTGGCTCAAAGAGGCCAAAGGAGGTGGGTAAGAGTCACTGTGCCTCTTGCCCACCCTACCATGGGACTTTGGAGCCATACATGCCAGATGGCACAGGTACACATGGAGAAGCATCGCTAGAGTACAGACTTTCCATGAAACAGAAATAAATCTTTTCCTGACTTAAGATACTGAGATTTGGGCAAAGTGGGGTTTGTGTTAGCTGGCAATGAATATAATTGAAATCATCTCTTTAAAAATGTTAACTTGACCTTGACTACAGTGTAATATATTTGTACCTCTATTATTGTTCAACGTCTAACACTGTCGCTGGCACTGTTCTCCTTCCTTCATTGGAACTGACTGCTGCTGCTCCTTCTAAAGTCAACTGGCATTTAGAGGCCACGCTGGATAAAAAGAGGGTGTGTGTGTGTGTGTGTGGTGGGTGGGTATGTGGGTGCATGTGGGTGTATGGGGGGATGTGTGTGCGTGTGTGTGCGTGCGTGTGTGGTGGGAGATGTGCTCAGCTCACGTCCATGAATTTACGTGAGCTAATGTGGAGGTGTCATGACTCTACAAACATTAAGCAGCAAAAATATGAACTGAAATTCCCTCTCTAGGTGACAGGGTTAAACTTTCTCCGTTCCTTTATTTACAGCTTTCCAATATTGGTAGGTATTTCATGATGACAAGGGGAAACTTAAGCACTGATGATATTCCTTTTTGACAGTTTGGTTACAGTGCTAGGTCCCCAAATCAATGTGGAGTCATTCTAAGTGAGTGGTGGAGTATGACCACCTTACAGACAGAAAACAGCCCTCCCCAGGTGCCCAGGCCAGGCAAGATGAATGGTCAGTGGCTAAGGTGACACAGAGAAGACACAGGGCATTCACAAAATCTGCCACAGGACCTTGGCCTACTAAGACTGGTATATCACAAAAAGAAAAGTGTGTGGACCATGCCTGCACATACCCCAGGAAGAAAGGTGAAGAAATTGTACTTCTGATTGTTGATGACATTTCGAGGATATCTCTGGTCCCTCTTCTCAGGATGTCCCAACCAGACAGTACGGGGCCTGGGTTCCCCTCCACCACAGCATCTCAGCCATTCACAGCACCTGTGGGAAAGACAAGCCCACACATCAAAGCCACGCCCATACATCAAGGTGACGGTCCATGCACCAACACCATGCCCACACCATTAAGACCCTGCCTGTCCCATACAAGCCACAGCTACACACTGAGGCCGCACCCACATCTGCCCAGGCCAGGCCACACACACATGAGGCCACAACTCTATCTGTCCACTCTCCTGGCAATGCTTTTTTCTAAAGGGGCCTGGGTGGGCAGGACCACAGCCATATGGTCCTGCCCAAAGCAGAGGCACCTAAGAAATACTGGTCCACATAAAAGATGATTTAAACCCAAATTACTCATTTCAAAAAGTAGGATTCATTTAAAAACAAAAAGACTTAAACTGGGGCTGGTGGAGTGGCTCAAGTGGTACAGCACCTGCCTAGCAAGCATGAGGGCCTGCTCCCCAGTACTACAAAAAAAAAAAAAAAAAAGATTTAAGCTAAAAATTTTTACATTTTACAGATACGACAGGGAAGCCGACCAAGGCACCCAAGTTTCCAAAGTGTGAGACACAGCTGCATCTGACCTTAAGCCGTGGGTCTTGCTCCAAAGTCTCTTCCACCCCATGCTGTAAGAGCCACTGGTTAGCCAGGATTGTTAAGGAGAGGCGGGGGAACCCTTTTTTAACATGGGAGGCTCAAGCCAGAAGGCCAGCTGCAGGCACACTAGTTCTCCTAGGAGGGCAGCTCATAAAAACAATGCCTCTCTCCCCAGCACCCGGCTCCAAGACATCCTCATGCAAGGCAAGCCAACACCCAGGAATGTGGATCGCTAGCACCATAAAGCCACTCTGAGACCCACTTATCCTTCAAGAGCGCTTACAAACAAGGGACTTCAAGAATTACAAGCCCCCCTAAGCAGTGCAATGATAACGCCCCACGCTGAGTTGCTTACTATGCTGCCTCAGCACACAGGCTGGGAGGGAGAAAATCCCAGCCCTACTGGCCCCCTGACATGTCACCAAATGAAGTGAAACCAACCAGGCACAGCATATATGACTCACATAAGTACTTGTTAGCTGCAGACCCTTCTTCTCCCCTTCCTCCTACAGGCCAGGTCCTGGTGGGATGCTGAGGTACAGAGCTGAGCTAACACAGTCCGCAGGCATCAGGACTGAAGCTGAGCCACCCAGCAAGCTGCCTGCTGAGACGCTCAAATTTCCACAATGAAACATAACGCTCTTTATTAAAAATAGCATCCTCGTTCCAGTAAACCAGTGCTGGGTGGAGTGTGCTTGGATACAGGCAGGCGCTGTGTCTAGTAATGCAATCCTGGGCATTTGAAGTTGTTCAAAAGCCAGAGATACACAGAAGCCTTGGGAGAGCCAACCCCTCCTTGCTCTGGCTCCTGGATGCAATCACCCATGCTGACCATCGGTGGATGCTAACTGAGGAGTGTTATGTAAGTGGAGGAGGCAAGGAAGGAGGAGAGAGAGGAAGAGAAGAGGAGGAAGGGATGGAGGAAGGGGAGGTTCATTTGACAGGCAGCAAAGTACTCAATGTGCAGAAACCTTCCTGATGGGTTAGGACCAACCTCTCTGAGAACCAGTAATTCTCTCTTCATCCTACAATAATCCCGTAACCATGGGCCTCACAGGGGCTTTTGGTTGTGGTTTTGTATTTTAGGTACTAGAGATGGAACTCAGGGCTTTTGCAATCACTAAGCAAGTTGCTCTGCACTTGAGACATGTCTCAAGTCCTTTTATTTTAGTCTGATTTTTCAGATAGGGTCTTGCACTAACTTTGCCCCAGTTGACTTCCAACCATGATTCTCCTACCTCTGCCTCCTGAATAACTGGGACTACAGGTGTGTGTCACAGGTGTCGTCTGATTTTGGGGTACTTAGCAAAGTTCTCTGTGTTAAGCTCTTTCTAGTTAAATCATTATGCAAAAAGTACAAGGTGTAATCTTTGCCCAGCTCAGTTGTACGTTCCTAATGAAAGAAGGAATTAATTTAAGAGAACCACATACTGTCAGGTTGACGATTGAGAGAAGTTTTCTCTGTTTCGTTTTGACAGGAGGTTCCACACATCATGCTATCAGGTTACACCTTTCCTCATTAATCTATGAGAGTGCTCAAGTACACGAAGTACCAGGGTGTTCACCAAACAGCCACCGTGCTAGCAAAACACCGAAACAAACCGAAGCACTCCTCTGAGGGAGACGGGCTAAATGAATAGATTGTGCATAAAACAGAACTCCTAACAGCCATGAAAGAATGAGGCAGAGCTACCCAGATGAAGTTGCTCCATTTTCAAGATGGGCTAAATGGAAAAGCAAAGAGCAAGACATGTCCATTCGGTGTCTGTTCCTGCAGATGCACACGTGCACAGGCACAGAAAATGTCATGACACGACAACAGTGCTGGTACCCTTGAGGAGCAAGGAGTAACATTTGCATTTTTTTTAGGGGGCAGCACTGGGGTTTGAACTCAGGGCCTTACACTTGCTAGATAAGTGCTCTCCCACTTGAGCCACTCCACCAGCCCTTTTTTGTGGTGTGGGTTTTCAAGATAGATATTTACAGGGCTGGTTTCAAACCTCAATCCTCCTGATCTCTGCCTCCTGAGTAGCTAGGATTACAGGCGTGAGCCACTGGTGCCCAGCAACATTTGCATTTTTAATACTGCACAAGTATCGACTATGAGACCAAATCATTCTCAGGTTATTTCATTATATTAAGCATCTACTTCCTGATAACCCAGATGTGCCCATGTGATACAAAGTTCTTCTCCAGGTCCTGATAGGACCAAACCCTGGAACAAGATGCTTTGCCTTGTTCTTCCTCTCATCTCACTGTAAAACTGGGTCAAGTGTTCAGCACAGGACAAAATAAAAACTCTTGTTATCTGAGCCTACTGTACTTGTCCTCACCCACTGTGTTTGGCCCCGCCCACTGTGGTTGGCCCTGCCTGCTATAATTGGCCCAACGTCCAACTCTTTAATCAATTTGACTTTCACCTCACTCTACTTTCTCCTTGTACTGAACACAACTTGCACACTTGGAATATATAGGATTAGTGTGACTTTCGCGTAAACACTCAGTAATAACAAGAGCTTCTTTGTGTGTGGCACTGGGGTTGAATTCAAGGTCTTGAACTTGCTAGTCAGGTCCTCCACAACTTGAGCAATGCCCCCCCCCCATCCTTTTTTGCTTCATTTACTTTTCAGGTGGGGTCTTGCATGTCTGCCCAAGGCCAGCCTCAGACTGTGACCCTCCTAACTATGGTCCCCTCGTAGCTGGGACCACGGGTACACACTACCATTCCCAACTTTTTGGTTGAGATGGGAATCTCGCTTTTTGCCTGGGCTGGCCTCAAACCACAATCCCACATAACTTCTTGTACACTCAGAGTCCCAAGTCCTTACCTAGTCCCTGGGTACTCAGTAGTGAACAAAACAGCTGAGGTCTTCCTCTCATGGAGTCTGCCATGGAAGGTGAGACAATAAACAACTACCCAAGCCAGGTGTGGTGGTACATACCTGCAATCCCAGCCCTCAGAAGACTAACATAGAAGCGCCATGAGTCTGAGACCAGCCTAGGCTACGTAGTGAGACCCTTCCTTAAAAAAACAAAAATTAAGCCAGGTACTGGTGGTTTCACACCTGTAATGCTAGCTACTTCAGAGGTAGAGATCAGGAGGGTTGAGGTTCTGGGCCAGCCCAAACAAATAGCTTGAGAGACTCCACCACCAAAATAACCAGAGCAAAATGGACTAGAGGAGTGGCTCAAGCAAGAGAGTGACTGCTTTGCAAGTGCAAAGCCCTGAGTTCAAACCCCAGAACCACCAAAATAAACAAATTACCCAAAAGAAAATGAGTCCAGGGGCAAGAGAGTAAGTAGCGAAGGGGGCATGGCTCCCAGAGAATGGCTGGGCAGGGAGGCTGCAGTGATGGCTAAACTGAGTGATAAGAAGGAACAGTCCTCCACACATGCAGGCTGATGACATCCAGGGACTAGGGAGCAGCCTGATATATATGAAGCAGCCAAAGCAGTGTGGTCCAGCTGGAATGCAGTCATCAGGAGGAAGAGAGGAGCAGGGCAGAGGCACAGGACTACATCACCAGGGGGAAGCCTGTCTGTCACTCCATGCACAGTGAAGATCACTGAGTTACAAGCAGAGGGTGGTATGACCTGATGGACATTTTGTAAAGGATCCCTGGCTGCTGGGCAGAGAAGACACTGCAGCAGGCAAGAGGGGAAGCAAGGAATGGGCTTCTTTCTGGGGTCATGAAATTCCTTGCCGTTGACCATAGTGGTAGTTGAACAACTCTAAGGATACACTAAAAACTGTCAAATCAGGGCTGGCAGAGTGGCTCAAGTGGTAGAGTGCCTGCCTATGAAGTGCGAGCCCCTGAGTTCAAACCCCAGGACCACCAAAAAAAAAAAAAAAAAAGATTAAAATGGGGCTGGAGGTACAGCTCAGTGAGAAAGCACTTGCCTATAAAGTTCCAGGTCTGGGTTCAATTCCTAGCTGCACAAAATAATAAATAAAAATAGATGTATGAAGAAAACAGTTATTTGATCATATTCAGCCCGCCCATTGCCCTCTCTCATTCCCCATGAGTTATCTTAATAAAGCAGTCATATTAACAACAAAATATGGAAAAACATAGGTATGGTGGTACATGCTTGTAATTCCTAGCACTGAGGCAAGAGGATCATGAGTTAGAGGCCAGCCTGGGCTATACAGTCTTAACAAAACAAAAGTAAAAAATGAAAAAGTGGCACCAGGCACTGTGGCTCATGCCTGTAATTCTAGTTACTCAGGAGCAGAGATCAGGAGGATCGAGGTTCAAAGCCAGCCTGGGCAAATAGTTCCACAAGATCCTATCTCGAAAAATCCTTCACAAAAATAGGGCTGGTGGAGTGGCTCAGGTGAAAGCCCTGAGTTCAAGCCCCAGTACTGCAAAATGAGAAATACACTCTCTCCTTCAGTGTTCACAACAATCTTACCAGCTAGGTACTAGCATCTTCACAGGGGATAAACTGAGTCATCGAGGGTCAACAACTTCATAAGATCTGCTACCTGTGCCACTGGTGGTGGAAGGAATGGAGCCTAGGCTTATCTGACACGAGTGCCAAGCTGACGGCCCTGGCTGCACGACTACACTGTAGCTTTCGTTTTTTTGTTTTTGTTTTGGTGGTACTGGGAATTGAACTCAGAGCCTCACACTTGCTAGGCAAGTGCTCTGTCACTGGTCATCAGTTGGGCCCAGTCCTTTTGTTCTCTTCAGTTTGTTTTTCACATAGGGTTTTACACTTTTGCCTGGGACCTCCACCCTCCTATCCCCAGGAGTGCACCACCACACCTGGCTGCAGCTCTATTTTTAAACCCACCTGTACCCACTTGGAGGAGAGCCAAACTGAAAAGGAAGCCAATGAGGAGGGCAGGGCAGATGAGAAGGGCTTCCCATTACCTTGGAAGAGTGTGTAAAGGAGCACAACGTCTGGGCTCCTCTGTCTTGGGAACTGATACTTTCTTCCTGTTTTATTTGACTTTAGTCAAGCCACTTGCAATTGTGTCACATGACCAGACCATTCTCAAAACCATGTTCCTGGTTTCTCACCCTTGAGGTGAGAAACTGAACCGTACCACCAGTAGCAGCAGGACCACGTGCACCAGGGGAAAGCTTGAAGCCAGACCCCTGCACCCCAGCCCTGCTCCATGCTGCCTGAGGGGCTCTGTACCACTCATCTTTGATTCCCACTGCTTGTACCTAAGAAACAACAACAGTTAAGTCCTCCACTACTGAATTTCTTCAAGAATTCGGGATTTTATATATTCAGGATACAGGGGACTACCTAACATGTAATGGTCATTCAGTATATTATTTCTTAAGACATGTTTCAGACTAGTGGCATATCTCAAGCAGTACAGTGCTTGCTTTGCAGCCGCAAAGCCGAGTTCCAACCCCATTAACTCAAAAAAAAAAAAAAAAAAAAAATCTATGTTTCCAGATTTAGAAAAGAAACACAGTGGGCTGTGGGGGTGGGTCAAGTGGCAGAACATTTGCCTTGCAAGCACCACGAAGGCCCTGAATTCAAACCCCAGTACTGTCAACCTCAATAAATACATAATAAAACTAAGGAGTAAAAATTAAAATTAAAAAAAAAAAAAGAAGAAGACAGGAAGCAACAATTATTAACAAAGTTAAAATGTAAGGCTAGAAATAATTTAACTTACCCGGATTTCTACTTACACCATTTATATAAGGAAAACCAAAGTGGATTTCCTTATAATTTGACTCTAAAACAAATAAAGGCCTTGTTAACCAGATATACACTGGTCTCAGCCATCTGGCTGAAATGCAGAGGGCAAGCACAAACCATGGGGGGGTCCCAAGAGGGCAGTGTTTCTCAGAGAGCTGGGTACTGTA